ATGGGCTTTAATGCTATTGAGTCTTTGTGTGTGGGACCTTATAGCATGTAATTCTTGATGAGAACTGTGTAATATGAGTAATGGACTCCTGTGCTCTGAAATTCTTGTTAATGGGGTTCTTAATAACATGCAATCCCACAGTAACACTGCTTTTCACTGCAAAACTGTGAACACAACAGCTGAAGCAAATCCAGCTTTATTACAGGCCTAGGAATAGTATGCTATAGACCCTGTAAATTAAGAAGTGCATAGAGAACTTGTAAATGCCAGGCAAGATGTACTGTTTTGCTTTTGTGTATGTGTTCAACCCTTTGTGCAGCTAAAACTAGTCCAGTTCCAGGCATATGACAGCCAAGAATATTGCAGCTGAATAGAACAAACACATTTTTGACCAAGACAAGTTAGAACAGGAGCAGTTAGTGGTGAGATTTTTTTTGTACTGGCCAACAAGTTCACAATTCTTTGTTGCTTGAGGTAGTTCTGTTGATCTGGAATTTACACTAGTGCTATCATCTTGCTCAACACCTAAAGTTTGAAATCAACTGTAAAACAATGCAGGAAAGCATAATGGGTTATCTATGGCTGCTTTAGCAATCCTGGAGTAAATTTTAATTACTTGCTTTTTCTATTCCGAGCTAATTTCTATTGCAAGTTGAACATCTGGAATAAGTTGCCACATCTTGTAGTAAAGAAGCATAAATACTTGACACTATTTTTAAATGAAGGGGACATGAATATGAATTACTGATCAAGTAGGGAAAAAAAAAAAGACTTTAAACTATTCTTAAATGAACACTCTGGCTTTGTTGATTTAACTTAAAGACTTGAATTCACCAGAAGATGCAGCAGTTCTCTATTCAGCTGTAACATTTAATTATGCTTCACATAGTGTAGTAGGTTAATGTAATGATGCTAAAAAAGACTGTTCATTCTTTTAAAGTGTCTGTGCCAACTTGAAATAATCTTCACCAAACTCAGTTTGATGTTTTCCTGATTGCAAGGAAGATGAATGTTACTTAAAATATTTTATGGGTGCTTTGTGAAGCAAACTGACAGAATGAAGCGATTGACATACAAAAAGAAAATGTCACTAAACATGAAACTTCATCAGAAACAAAACTGAGAGAGTCACGATACTTGTGCTGAATTTATAACCAGGAGTTCTGTGAAGTTTGGTGCTTTAATCTTAACAGCTATGGAAAAACTGAATGGGCAAAAGGGAAATAAGATCACTGTAAAAGCAGGATTTTTGAACGGGGAAAAGAAATTTAAGACTTGTAATTTTTATAGTACAAATTGTGAGAGGTCCTCAAAGACTGTTAAACAAACAAAAAAATCGATGAAGTCAAAATATGACTGCTTTCCTCAAACCCACAGCACAACATGCAGTTAGAAAACGGCTTACGTAGCTTCTGAAACTCAGTACCAGCTGGCAGACAGTCATGTAGAAGTGTGAGATCATCTTCCAACCCACCCAGCATAATTCTAACATGAAATAACATCAGACTATGTTTCCAGAAGTATTATTTCTCTCACTGCAAAGTCATGAGTAACTACTGTGCAATGTCCTCTTCTTCCCAATTTGGCAATAGCTGTATGGCTCAGAATTCTCTTCCATCTTTCTGGTGTTGGTATGCTGAGAGCAGTAACTTGGCAAAAGGTACAGTAATTTTCTGTTAAATCTGCTCTGTAGGCAAGTCAAAAACCATTATTTGTAGCAGCAACCTCTCATAAAGGCTGGCAGCTGTTACACGTGTTAACGTCGCACCCCTCCCTGCCTGCTGCTGTGGAAGGAGTATTGAATTTCCTGACCAGGGTTGCTAACCTTCCACTGCTCTAGCACTCAGTGTGCTTCAGCTGAAGCAGAGCATTTCTGCCTCAAAGTATGCTGGGTCTTTTCAAGACTAGTGACTTGCTTTTGAATTCAAATTTTAAAACTTATTATTTAAAATCTAATATGTTTTTAATTAAAAAAAAAAAAGCCTTGCCTTTTTCTCTGCCTTTACAAAGTACAGCTATTGAGACTTCTCTTTCTTTTCTTCCACACTTCAATTATACTGTTTAATTAGTACATTCCTTCTAGCTTAATGCTGTCTCTTCCTAATGCTTTAATATTGTTATACTTCATACTCCATTTTGTAAAATTTCAGTTGTGCATCACTGGCCTCACTGGCATAACCTGATTTCTTCTTGTTTGTGACAAAACAAAGTGTCTCCTATATATTATTAACTACCTTACCTCAAACATCGTGCTGAGTATAGGCTGGGCAGAGAGCTCACTCTTCTTTGTGTACCCTGCAGTAATTTAGACAAGTACTAGAGCCTGCCATGGTGAGTTTGGGACCAGATAACAAAATCCAGGCATGTTTCCCAAATAACTTCATGAAAATACAGCTTAAGCCAGTTCAAAAACTGTATCTAATGTCCACAGCAGGCAACGGAGAATTGTTAGGAAGAGATGTACTTTGAACTACCGTGACTGTAAAGAGAAGAATTCACAGCTGCCAGTGAAGACATGTTTTTATTTCTGCTTGAGCTTAGTACACTGTGTAATGGATGTCACATTTCATCTATAATGCATTCACTTCTCTGCATTCAGATTTAACAGCCAGACCAGGTCTGAAGGGGGAGGTAACCAGACCAATCAAACACAACCACCCCACCCTTGGACTGGGTATTGAGCTTCCCTTTAATGGTAAGAGGATGCCTGTGGAGTAGAAGCACAGTACAGGATAGCAGCAGTTCTGCACACCCAGTACCACAACTCAGTCATGGACCCAAACTAGGGCTGGCTCGAGTTATGCTGTTACAGGAACTCTGATTTTTCCATGTGGTTTAACTTATTGGGTATCTACACAAGGTTAATTGTCTTGCCAGAAAGGGCTCTTGTTTTCTTCAGCTTGATACCTTGTGTATGCCCCACTTTGAGACACGTCAGCACCTGGAAAGCATTAGCTATCAGGATGGTACAGCTCATTTTCTTAAGATGCAGGTACGAGATACCATCTCTTGAAGGAGTATTAATTTTACTTTCTCTGGTGTAGTTCAAGATAGCCCTAACATGGTCCTTCATCCTTGTACACAGTCTTTACAATTCCTCTCTTTCCCAGCATCCCTGCAAACTTCTGTTACATGATGGTAAGATACACCAAAATATCGGTTCCTTTCACACTGCCAGTTATTAGCATCTTCACAAGTACCTATCTGCAGCAATACTGATGGTAGTATCAAACCACTTTACTTAAATCTGTCCATTTTTTTTTCAGCTTACATTTCTTCTACCTCAGTTCCATTGCTCTTTCAAAAATCAGTTCTATCTTCTGACTTTTCGCTGAACACAAGAAGTGCTATGTAGCTGTAGCCTTGCCAGGAGGAATTAGATAAAGTATTGGTGAGAGAAAAGTGTTCTGGACAGATAGTAAGTTTATTCATACATTCACCATCTGGTCTTCTGCATTTCTGGAACTGAGTGTAATTATATGCTGAAAAAAAGGATCCTTAAAACTGGCTGCTTTAAATAGGTTCACTCTCATTTTCAGATGGCTTTTGTCTTTCTTTTTTCTATCAAGTTCTTCAAGAAGTATTCACCTAATTAAAAAAAAAGCACCAAAAACATTGGTAGGTGTTTCAATGAAATAAAGCAAAACAATATACATTCTCATTTCATGTAGGTATTCTACTGAACAATACAATTGTTCTTACTAGTGTTTTATAGTAATTTAATTCAATACAACAGCACTTTCAATACATACAGCAGGGATGTAAAAAAAACCCCCACAAAAAAACCCCAAACCCCATAACCCAACAAACAACCCCTCTACCCCATGCCCAATTTTATGAAATAGCTCTGCTTCTCTGTGCTTTCCAAGAGGGAAAGATGTAGTGATTTAATTTACAATTAATTCATATTTCATAAAGTATCAGCAACTTGTAGTGAAACCTGCTATAAATCTTGTTTGAGCTGATATTAAAACATTCTGAGAACTAAGGTGCCCCAGATGAGTCTTCTCTGCTCCCTCCTTAAGAAAAAGCAGGATGTTGGACCTACACAACAGTTCCATTAATAGCTGCTACTTAATACGCTGCTTTGTCAGACAAAGCACTGCTGTAAACGTGCCTAATTTCTAGGGCACTGTAAATAAATTCTGCCTAAAGCAACAAAATTACATCACGAACAACAAAGAGCCCCATTAAACCCTGAAGTGTCCAGGAGGCAGAAGGTAAAGGAAAACTTGCAGACTGGGTACCCTTATCCTGCCTCACGCATTAAGTAGCATACAAATGAGGTTTGGCAAAAAAAAAACAGCTTAAGCAGCACAGCAAGTGTAGAGATACAAATTACTGTCATACTGATGCATTTACATGACCCACAGAAGAAAATAAATGCAAGTAATGAAAAATAAAAAGATGTGTATACGAGGTGTCCTTGAGCCAAGGTGAGCTTTGTTGCACATTACTTCACCATTTTAATTCCATATATTAAAATGTTATGTGCTGAAGAATCTAATGCTTTTCAGTGATTTACCTGCTTTGTAGGAAGAGCGCACTAACGGCCCGCTCGCCGTGTAATGGAATCCAAGATCATTTCCTACTTTTTCCCAGTACTTAAATTTTTCAGGAGTTATGTACTCCTCAACCTAAGCGAAAAGAATTCATTTTGATCAGGTATAAATGCAAAGAAAATGGCTGTAGCTAGCATGTAGTGACATGAAACAGTCAAATCACAAGTCCAAAATTTTATCCTCCAAAACTTCCAGCAAAGTCACTGAATTTTCTTTCATTTTCTTTAGAATCATAGAATGGTCTGGGTTGGAAGGGACCTTCAAGATCATCTAGTCCCACCCCCCCTGCCATCAGCAGGGACACCTTCCACTAGACCAAGCTGCTCACAACCTCATCCAACCTGGCCTTGAACACTTCCAGGGAGGAGCATCCATAACTTCCTCAGGCAACCTGTGCCAGTGCCTGACCACCCTCACAGTGAAGAATTTCTTCCTAATATCTAATCCAAAACTGCCCTCTTTCAGCTTAAAGCCATTACCCCTTGTTCTGTCATTAACTGCCCTTATGAAAAGTCCCTCCCCAGCTTTCTTGTAGCCCCTTCAGGTATTGGAAGGCTGCTATAAGATCTCCCCGGAGCCTTCTCTTCTCCAGGCTGAACAGCCCCAACTCTCTCAGCCTGTCCTCATAGGAGAGGTGCTCCAACCCTCCCCTCATCCTGGTGGCCCTTCTCTGAACTTGTTCTAACTGGTCCATGTCTTTCCTGTGTTGGGGGCTCCAGGCTCCCAACTCCAGGCTACGTTATTTGCTTTTCATATTTAGCTGAAAAGTTTAGAATTTAGTTTCTAGTTGCTGCTTTATCATTTTCTTCACTGTTTTTGAATGGTCCATTTGAGCAAACCTTTTTCTTTCCAAATTAGTAAAAAAACCACAATAGTTGTACAAATCTCTTCATGAACTGTTATTTCAGTGCAACTCAGTAACAGAACACGGACTCAGGCTCTGGACAGATCACAGAAGGAGAAAAGCAAATTTCCCCAGCTGAAGTGGCACCATTAAAGGAGACCCTATGAGACTGGAAGGGGCGCTGGCCTCGGCCAGTATGTTTGAGACATACACCAAGACTTGTTTTCCAGAATCCTGCCTCAGCTTCAGCTGTCTCCCCAGCTAACAGTAGCAGTGGGAAGTCTGCAGAAGATGGAAGGGATTAGATAGCTAAGGTCATTTTTAATGAAGAGTCCATAACAGATGAAGATCAGGTTAAACAAGGAAGGAGATTTTTCCCAACGCCCACAGTTAAGGTAAGGATGCATATCAAGCTTCAGTTTAGAAAGAGGAAACTTGACTGTGCAAGGTACAGACCATAACGCTGCCTGGAAATGAAAGGCATTTTTACCTTTAGGTGACGTTTTGTTGGTTGCATGTACTGTCCTAGGGTCAAACAATCTACATCTGCTTCCCGCAATACTGCAAAACCAAAATTCCTTGTTATTGGCAGAAGGATCACAGAGGATTGTTAGCAATTAGAAAACACCCTCCTTCCAAGTCTGAGCAAAGGTCACCCCACAGCACCCTGCAGGGCTTACATTCTGCTCTCCAGCACAGGGAACCTGCAGCCTCCACGAGCAGTAGCCTGTTCCGAGCTCCACGCTGCTGCCAGACCTGAGCTATCTAATTTAAGCTGGAGAGAACGCCACTGCGCTGCACTCACTGCAGTCCCAGGCCTCGCTGCAGAGGTGACACGCTCTCCTCTTTTTTATCTTACTGCTTTTCACTGTCTCTTTATTTCAGAGCTTTCACTTGACAAAAAATGGATGTATGCACATAGACTTGGCACCTCTCCGCTGTTTCAAGAGACTTCAGGCTGAAAAGATGTGGCCAGTTCTAAAGAGCTATAAATGAGGGGAAATTGGCAACATCTTCTGCCAGTTTTACACACTTAAGGATGTATGTTGGTTTTCATGCCTGCAGAATTTCATAAATTTTGTCTGCTAAACTTTGAGTATATACTAGAATCAATACACAGCAAATGAGTTTGGATAGTCTACTTACAGAGGGAAATCCAGACACCTGATAGTCAGCTAGCCTGAAGAATTATGTTACTGCAGCTAGCAGGGTATTCTGAACAAAGGGGTGGCTGAGGAATCAGATTTTGCATGAACACCTCCATGTATTTTCTGGCTACATGGGCTGGTTGCCCCACATGAAATAGGCAGAAAAGATGGTGATTTGACTACAGCATTACACTCACTGTTGCTGTGTAATCGCTGCTTAGACTGACATGGTTCTGTACAGAAATTCATTTGGTATCAGCACGTTTACGTGTTCTTTAACTCGTACCCAGAGGAGGGAAAGGGAACAACCAGAGTAACTGCACAAATGTGGCAGGTAAAGCTGGGCTCCAAATACATCCATGAAAGTGAGCTGAAAACAAATCGTACCAAATCTGAACTTTCAATACTCCTGTGGCTGGGAAATGCTAGGCAGGAAGAATGGGGAAACCAGGAACTTTAATTTCATGGTCCAGATTATAAGACAGCTGTAGAAAAACTAGACTACATCACTGCATTCCAAGTACGAGTTGTTGTGCACAAAAGAAAATACCAGGTAGACATTCTTTCAGGATACGGAAGAAATGCCATATACAACTTAAGCACATTGCATTCATTCACTTACCACTGTGAACTTTTTCTCCCCTTAAAAGTATATTTATATGGAAACATAAGAACATGCTACAACTCCAAGGATAATAACTTTTTTTTTTTACATCTAAGTAAGCTGAAATAAATTATTTTAATCAATCAGGTCTGCTGTTACTAAAAGGAATGCACAATGAGCCAACTATGTTGCAAGCCCATTATTTAAGTATTGCAAATATAAGATTATTAATATAGTCAAGATATTAATGATAGGTAGATTCAGTCAAGAGGAGCTGGATCTACCTATCAAACTGAATCTAAAAACCATATGAACGCAAAATATTTCAGAAGTTCAATCTTTTTTAACCAAACTGTTTTTTTCCCCATAAAGCTTAGAAAACATTTCCTGCACCAGCAAACTGATTTGCATATAGAGGCAAAGATGCTGACAACTGTTTTCCAACACAGTCAAATTCATAGCTGTGGATTCTGGCATATATTTCAACACCAACTTACATTTCATTGTGGAATATACTTGTTCATCTGTCTCGCCTAGCCCCAACATAATGGAGGTTTTAGAAACGACGCCGGGCTGGACATCCTTGGCGTGCTTCAGCACACGCAGGGACTGCTCAAAGCTGGCTCGGGGATCACGGACCTTCCTGCTCCCATTTTCAGCACAAGGGGAAAAGCAGACGAAAGGGCGCACAGGAGTTAAGAGATGTCCAGCAAGGTGCGTTCTGGTCCAGAGTGGGAACGGCAACTCGAGGCTTTAGCTGTCGAGTCTGACACGGGCTGAAAACGCCCCGAAGCAGCACGAGCGACGGGACGA